GAAGAGGAAAAATTGAAGTATAAGACAAAAAAAATATTTACACCATTTTTTTTTCTTTGCGAGTCTTGTTATATATGTAATTATACATCAATATTGGCGATTATAAGTCACAATTTTACAAACATGTGAGTACATTTAATTCAATATGTTTACAGAAAATTCTTGTTAATGCTACAGCAGACAAATTTTGTACTTTGTTTCAAATAATATATTTACACACAATAACACACTAGATAAATTTATTGATATTGACTATTTATTTCATTTTATAATAAATTGAATTTTGGAACAATACTTTAACACTAACACAAACTTTTTCAGCAATTATCCCCGTTTTAATGCCCAACATTACCATGGGAAAAAAATGTGACTGTACCCTAAAACATGGAACCCTTCACAATTTGACCTAAATTCTTTTCAAGTGCTAATACAAATATGTGAGAAAGAGTCAGTGATCATAATTTCCTACATTTCTGAAAGTTGTCAATTTCCCCTAGCCAAAAAACGAGTCTAGCAATTCTACTTTGTAAAATGAAGGAAACTTGATCACATTGACAATGATATATACACAATGTACAAAATAGACCGATTTCTGGCTTTTTCGGCAAACTCGGTGCTCATATGATAGAAAACTCAATACATCAACTTTGACCAAAGTTATCTCTGCAAAGTCACGAGAGCATAACAATGTAATAAAATATATGGCATAACTGATATTTCATTTAAATGCATTAACATGCTCAGTAAACTATTGATCAATTCATCAAACAGGCAAAAATGTTGCACTGTATACTAAGAATCCTTGTCATCCTTTTCACAAAAATTACCCAGCACGCATCTCTGCTGAGTGCAGAATTTGGTGCCATTGGCTTTGACCCCACCCCCATGTGAAAAGCTGAACAGACTCATTTTTAGCAGGCCCTCTGGCCGGGCCCTGAGTCTTTATTTGTTGAGCTTCTCTATGTAGATGGTGTACCCTCTGGTGTCTATACGACTCACGCCTCTCCTTCACAGTAGCAGCACTGTGGGGTAAGGGTGTTGGATTATGGAGCAGTTTTAGCCGGCAAGAATCTTGCGGTTTTTAAGGCTAGTTCATACCCAGGGTGTCCAACCTTCGTACAGGACAGCTAGATTATCTAGGTTGTTGGCCTCTTTGATAACAAAGTCCACCTACAAAACCAAAATATATGAATCATTTTAGCACGCATATATGACAGTAGAAAAGAAACAACACAAAGTCTCCATGCAATGTACAGTTGAACTGATATCTTGTGTACCATGGATATGTCAGTTTGATTTGGAAGCCCCCTACAACTTATTCTTTGAAGTATTTTACCCCCTTATATATATCTCAAAACTCTCATGGTTTTTCTGAGTTTCATTGAGTTTGAGATACTGAGATTTGATTGTATTTGGATAATGACGAGTAGTAGTACTGACCTGTTCAGCGACAGAGAGACGTTTGTTGAGGTCCGGATCACGGCCATCCAGCTTCATCTTCACTCTTCTCCACACACTGACAGCATAGGAATTCCTCTCCTGTATGGCTGAAATGAAAATTATATGATTTAATAATAACACATAAAGATTATCAATTATCACTGGTGTTGGAAATGTTATTAATTTCACAGCACAGATACCTTTTCCAGTTCTTGGATCTCTCGTTATTTTATCCAACTTCTTCCCACCTTGACCTGAAAAAGAAAACTGACCTTGGTAACATTTTTCAAAGTAGGTCAACCAATCAGAGTTAACTAAACAATTACTGAAAACTTTCACTTATTTAAAGAACAAAAAGAATTTGTACAAAGAGAAGTGATGGTACTAACTTGAAATCTTGGCCATGAGACTGATGTGTGGACTGCCCAGGGCTGGGGTGGAGGCCTCTCTATGTAGAGGTTTACTGGCAGGGCTGGACAGTTCACTGGGTTCCAGGGGCTTCTTCAAAGCTGAAAGTGAAGTTGTACATAAAAATAATGTAATGACTAGGAGCAATTAATTTTGCCTAAAATCTCATTTTAAAACTACAGTATAACACCGAGTAATGCTTAAATTTTAAGCCTTGACAAGAAACCTGAAGCAAAGCTGGAGTCGGTGGGATTTTCTGTGGATTCCTCCTCCTCAGATATAAGGGGAGGGGCTAGATTCACCAGGTCATCAAAAATCCTGTTAAAAAAGAGAATGGAACAGCTTATAATTAATCATTCAATGTCAGGAACTTAACTTCAAAACTGTTAAATTTTTTTCCATTGTAAAATTACATCTTTTAGATCCTTTACAGAAGTGATATGATTTCTGTTTAACCGACACTTACTGAGGAATCAGTGTCAGGAGATTGTCTATCATGGAGTCAGCCTCTTTCATTCCTTCCTTTGTCATGTCCTCCATCAGAACAGTCTTCAGCACCATGGCCAGGGTCTCAGAGAAGTTCTTGTAGACGACAAGGTATTCTCTGATCCCACTGAAGACTGGGGAATCCCCTTCATCCTGCTCTTCCAGCTTCATATAAATATTACAAGATTTATAATTGATTAAGTAAAGTTAACCATTACTTAGAGAATGACAAGATTGTTGTTATAAACTTACCTTAGACATGGACTTGAGAATGGTGCGTATGTCTGACATTAACTTATGATGAGTGGTCAAGATTGTCTTAATGGCCATCACTTCATCCTTTATGGCATCCTATAAATAGACATATATGTTATATCAAAATCCTCCCCTCTTCTATGTGAAATAAACCTTTTTTACACTGGTTTTTAAGGTGTTATAACTGACCTTGGCTGCCTCCACATCTTTGTGGAGTTTGTCTGCCTCCTGACAGAGGGAATCTATCTGAGTCTGTACATCCACCTTACATTCCTCCAACCACTTCTTATCAATCCTCTGGTTCTCTCCTGAGCTCTGGAAAAATCAAAATAAAGGAATAAATGTTTTATTCTGGTCATTATAAGCATAGTTGACAAGGAAAGTTAAATTTTAACAAGCATGCAATAAAAACAATTATACCAGCAGTATGTATACTTGAATATAAGTTTCCATGTGTAACACTTGTGAGTTGTGACACTTACCTTTGTGCTCATCAGCAAGATTTCTGTGTCTGTGACAGAGCTGTTAGTGGACTCCATCATTAGACAAGTCTCACTGCACCTACAAAATCACCAGAAAATCTCATTATAGCAATTGAAAAGAATTTGCCTCATTCTAAAACCTCCTTTACCACAGAGACCGATATTAACAGTGGTTTTCCTTACTTGTTTATGAGGTTGAGGAAGTTTGTATCTGAGGCTGATGCCTCACTTGTCCTTGTCCTCAAGGCCTCCAGGTGTAGTATTCCCTGACACAGACTCACTACCTCTGTGGCTCCCTTTCTCTCCTCCTACAATCACAATAGAAATATATCATCAAGAAAACATCAATTTATTTTCAATCAAATGCCCCCACCCCCTCTCCGTCCAAAAAAAATTGCACCCTATTTTGAACAATACTTATGCCATATCACTGGAAGACAAAGTCAATATTACCAACCTCATACAGCGGGGAGAGGGGGAGACATCAAGTTCTTCAAAATCCCCCCCCCCCAATAAATTGTACACTTTTTTGAATAATTTTAATGGCATATCAGAGGAAGACAAGGTAATTATTACTGACCTCATATAGCAGTTTTCTATAGGAGCTGGCTTCATCGAACTGTTGTAGGACCAGATTCAGAGAGGGGTTAGCTCCAGCTGCCCACTTTAGTCTCTGTATAATGCTGCCCTCTAGCTGTATGTAGTGGGAGTAACAATTCACCAGACCCGTCTCCTGGGCTGCCAACGCCTGCATACTCTGTAAAATATTGTACTCCTATTTATAGATTTCTACAGATTAAATCAGTCATAATCCAAATACTGTAAATCACATTTTATTCGCAAGAACTTTATTTTCGCGTAATACGCGAGACGGTATCCTCGCGAAAATTTCATTCTCGCGTATAATAGAATTCTTTAAGATTATATAGAGCGATAACCACAATTTGTGAAAATTTTGTCTCGCTAATAAAGAGTCAATGACTATCTCACGAAAATAAGTTGTCGCGAAAATTAAGTGATCTACAGTATACACTTGAATACCGTTTACATGTACAGAGTAATTTTGCATGTCATTTTTATACCAGCACATTTCTAAAAAGATTTCACTCCATCTTAAATTTGCCAAGTATAGTTGTGGAGATATTAGAGAGGTTAAGCATCTGAACGTGTACGTCTACGTGTACGTGTAGCTAGGGAAATCCCCTAATTTACTGCGATTTGCGTCATCAGTTTTGCATACAACTGTAATTCTACAAGTTGTAAACAACGTGTGGATCTGTAAGTACACGTAGGTAAGAACTTGTAGCTTCTTAAACTTAAATTATAGAATATATCTTTTACAGCTGTGGTTTATTGTGATGTAGAGAATTTATTACGTACATCTATGTAGTTTTATTGATCAAATTCATAGAATTATTTTGATTAAAATGGATTGTAAAGTGACTTGTTGAAATGACGTCATTTCGAATTACCCGTGAAAGATTCCGACGTGTTTTGATGACTCTTATGATATTTCTTTATACTTTCATAACTTTTAGAACTAATTATTATTATATTTATTGTTGTTACATGTGTTCGTCAATATTCTGTAAATTCATGCATAACATTTAAGAGATGGGAATGACTCCATTTACGGAGACAGCCGAGCGTCTGGTTGAAACTATAGATCAAGTTCAATTTTGGTCTATATAGGCCCTATTTTTCATGTTTTAACAAAATGATCAAAGGTTGATTATTTATTTTAATCCATGTTAAATTTTACAAGCCAAAAGAGGGGACAAATCGCCCTCCAGTATTCTTTTTTTTTGGGGGGGGGGGGGGGGGGGGGGGGGGGGGGGGTATCGTTAGTACGAGCTAGGTTATTTCTGGAAGATTATAGTAAATATAAAATACAAAATAAACCATATTTCCCCCTTTTCTTTATAGCCTTATATTTAATCATCACAATTTCTATATTTATTTACATGCATTTTTTCATCTTTAAATATAGGGAAAAATGAATACTGAGAGGAAAAAACAAATTCGATTTAAAAGTGAGGATGACATTCGGCTTTTGAGGGAAATTGTCGCCAAAAATCCCATAAAAGACAAGAGCAAATGGGCAGAGATCGCATCAACCCTGTCGTCCCCTAATTTTATTTTAGATGCAAGGAGAGTAAGAGAGAGGGCGAATTTACTCATTGAACAGCATAAACGAGAAAACCGAGAGAATCTCAGAAGGTACCAATGTCTCTATTTGAATTATTTCTCTCTCTGTCAATAAAAAATTAATTTCCTACCGGTATATATTTTGGCTGCATCCGCCCTTTGTTTACGTTGCAGAAAATTCTTTATTTGACAATAAAAGGTAGATGAAATCTGATTTTGTAATTCATTAGACAGTTTGAAAACTCATTTTAATACCTTTTTATAGATCTGGTGTTGATGAGGAAGTGACGGAAAAAACCACTCTGCTTGACGAAATTCTTGAGTTAAAAGATGAGGAGGAACGGGGAAAGAAAGAAGAAAAAGAAAAGAAAGAAAGATCTGATAACATGGGGAAGGAGATAAGAAAGAGGGCCCTAGAGTGTTTAACACCAAAGAAAGGTATGTGTATGTACTTGTTTTCTCTACATATTAATGATATATCACGTTGATTTGGTATTTTTGAAACCTTTTCTGCTTACATCATCTCATAAATTTTTAATTTGTGTATTTTCTGATAAATACCGGTAAATTATTTGCAATTACAAGTAAATTACAGGCTAAAGTTACAAACTACATTTAGTTTTTTTCATAGGTTACTGTACCCCCCCCCCCCCCCCCCACAACACACACACACACGACAGTATTGATTTGTTGTGTTAACTATAACACTTTTTGATCACATGTATCTCCATTGTATATATTTAAAGGTGCATATATTTGTTTTAAAAAATATTAATTTTTTTCAGATGATGAGAGTGGAGCACCTAAAAGGAAAAATTCACAAACTTGCATCGTCGACTATTTAAAAGAAAAAACAGAGCTTGAAGTGAAAACAAAAAACGACGACATGGAGTTCAGGAAGGAGCAACTAAAATTGGAAAAAGCCAGATTTGATTTGGATAGACAGGAGAGGATGCAAAGAATGGAGATCGAAAAGCAGGAAAAACTTGCTTTTATTGATTTATTGAAGAAATTAACGAAAGATAAATAAACAAGAATTGTACGCGATAACATAAATTATACACATTAATAAATTAATGCACATTTAAAATCTGTTCTGTTTAGTTCCTTTCCATATAACCATCTATTTTCATGTAAACATACATGTATTTAGTACTTGGTGGAAGTATTAGGCCAAATACTCTTGTAGGGATGGCGGATCTATACCAAAGAATGTACCGGTCTCGCTCCCATAGAGTATAGTGTGACAATTTGTCAGGATTGACGCAACTCTATAATATTTTCAAACAGGCTGTAAATACAGCTTTTGATTCTTCTTATAATCAAGAAATGCAAAGAGATTCAAAATTTTGCTGAAAGTCCGTTCAACACACACTCTCACTGCCGACATGCTTTTGTTAAAGCGCATCTGATTCGCTGAGATTACCCCTCCTCGAAATGGAGTTATTAGGTAAGGCGATAAAGGGTATGCGGGGTCACCGTAGAGGGAGTACACATCATTATTTGCCTTTGTCATATATTGTTGCAGTTGATGCTCAACGTCGCTTTCTCGTAACATACCGGCATCATGACTTCGACCTTCAATAGGACCAAAGAGATGCGCTATCATTCCGTCAGGTGTCGTAATACATTGGAACTTAAGACCATGGACTCTCTTGTGGCCATTAAACACTAACTGTTGATAAGATTGGGGTCTGCAAATTGGCCTCACCGTTCCGTCTATAAAACCCCAGCAATTTAACAGCGGGGCTCCGCAGTTACTTATTGCTGTGGCCATTTCATCCAGCTTTGCGTGCGACAACCAAGGGTGATTTAATCTCTCAATTCTGTGCCCGTGCCTTGTATCGATGAAATTGAGAGAAGTGTTAAAAATATATGACAATTCAGCAGTTGATCTCCCAAATATATGCGAGAGGTCTTGTAATCTATTTGGGTACGCTAATCGGCGAATGAGAATAGACAAACCCTCTGTTCCAGAACATACAGTCCTGTTTGGGCACACAATCTTGCTTGGTAAATCTAACGCTTCGCACAAACTATTCATATCTTCTCTTTGAAATCTAAACAAATTTTGGAACTGGTCATTGCTTAGTTCATCAATCTCTAACTTCTGATAGACTGACGAATCTTTTTCATCGTCCACACTCGCCAACAAAAGAAGGTCATCGTCCTCCTCCAGACACGCAAGTAACATCAAATTTTGCGCCATTTTAAGTTACAATCACAGAGAAGAAACACTCATTTTGATTCGTTTATTTCGATTTTTTATCCAATGAAATATGTTATAACAAAATGTTTTACATGAACCCGTACACGTACAGTTTGTTAAACAGGCCATGACGTTAGTTACGTGTACGTGTAAAATTACTTCTATGTTTACACGTACACGTAGACGTACACGTTCAAATGCTTAACCTCTCTATTGTTATACTTCTGTTGAGTTCAACTCATTTTTGAATTCAACTTACAACTAAGCAAAAAAGGGAGAAATAAAACAGAAGCAAATATTTCCATTGAAAATATTGTACAGGGTGACTTAGATTATCACTTGAGCATCTGTCTACACATACCTTTCTCATCTCTGACATGACAGTAGCTCTGTTGGGCATCACCATCTGGTTGAGGTGGCGCCCAGCATTCACAAACAGGTCCTCGTGGAGCCACTGAACTCGTGCCAGCTGAAGTTGTGATCTCTGGAGACAGTTCTTCATCACCACTAAACTCGAGTCTAATCTCCTGCAGAAATAAAATTAACCATTTAATCAATGCATTTAGAGAAATGATTTTTGTAGGGATATCTATAAAACTCAAAATTATATCTAAGTTGAACTTTGACATCTAGAATATCAGGCATATGTCAAAGTGAGTTCTGTATGTATTTTACTCTCAATATTTTAAACCCTTGGATATCTCTGTTTTTTGGTCCCATCAATTCAAGATAATGAGGTTTGACATTTTAATCAGGTAAGCAAATAGAATAGCCCCAATGAATCACATTAAGCCCTCCCTCACCTAGCCAGGTCGTGTCTCCTCCAGACCGAGTCCAGGGCACTGACAATGGTGCTGGCCTGGGTGAAGTGCACGTGCTGGAACTGGCTGTTCCTCAGACAAATGTCCACGGCCTTCTTCCTCAGGTCCTCCAGGGGCACCTTAAACTCAGCCCCAATGTCCTTAAACTCTATCTCGGCTGTCACATTCACACCAAGGGCATCGATGAACACACATAACATGTAACCCAGTACTTGAGATGGGAATCCTATCACCTGCAATTTCAACATTTAAAAAGTTGTCATTACTGATTAAATAATCAAATTTTTGTTCCTCACATCTTGGGCAGAATATTTATCGACACTCTTACAGAAATAAAAGATATTATACTACTACTTGCCTGTTTTCTAACATATTCAGCAATGTAGCGCTTAACTGGTCTTGACAACTGTTCATCATCATAGCAATTTCCACCCTCAATTCCTGGCAAAAGAAATCATAGGGATGAAGGAATATTATTTAACTTCAAAATACAGAGGTGCTTCTTCAAAATGAACAGATGAAATATTGACTACAGCTGAATTACTGTAAACCTTACCTTGAAGATTGGCAGCATACTGGGTGCACATATGGAAGAAAGCCTGCATGGTCTGCAGTCGTTTGACAAAGAAGAGGCTGGACAGATAATGTCTGGTACTGCTGGTGAAGGAGGAAAGCTGTAAACAGAAAGGAAAAGTAATCTCATGGGCCATGTTCAAAGATCATCAGAAACTTCAATTTGACAATATTTGCAAAGGCCTAAACTCTTGTAAATAGATTCAAAATTTACTCAAAATATCTCGATTTTATGGGATCACTTAATGAATTACATATGGATCTCCCTATTATTAGCATGTTAAACAAAATCATGACCAAGCATTTTACTTTTAGTATCCTTTGTAGCTAAATTCTTGATTTTCACAAGTTTTACCATCTGACAGCTAGATTTCCAGTTACAGTGACCCTACAGCCACAGTGATGACTCTTACCTGCATTGCCTTTCCCTCTCTCACTGCATCCACTTTTCTCCAGACGTCGGGGACTAGAAGAGAGTCCATGGCCTCCATCAGTCCGGTGAATTCCTCCTCCAGGCGAGTGAAGAGTCCATTGAATCCCATCAGGAGCATCTGCCCGGGGGACATGTCCTCCCCGGACCCTGACAGGATCTCCTGGTACTCCTCCTGCATCCTCTTTACCACCGTCATCATCTCCAAGTTATCATTCTGAAGGAAACAAAACAATTGTTTAATGATAATAAATGTATCTTACTCATTATGAACACCTGTGAATCTTTCAGGAGCAACCAAACTCTTCATTAATTTGTCTCATAAAGATATTCAGGAACTGGTAAATAAGGACTTGAGTTTGTTTTATCTGGCTCATGAAAAAAGTGAATATATTTCCCTAGTACATGTACCATCAGGATTGAAATTTTCTGTACTTGTCTATATTTATCTAAGAATTCTGAATTTCTATTAAAATTCTTTACAATCCTCATTCCTACTGAAAAATCATTTGATTTGATCTTATAGACTTTCACTTTCAATTCTCACTGATTTTAAGTAAAATCCATTGGATGGTCAGCTGTATATTTCTCACCTCATTTCCCATGATGGCATTCCTGTGCAGTGTCTCGAGCTGTGAGATGACAGTTTCGATGGGATAACTGGCATCAGAGAACAGCTTCTCCAAGTCTTGTAGGGCCTTAACCACACTCACATTCTGTCCCTGTATGGCCTTCAGAGCCTCAGGCAGTATAATCGAACGAAAATTCAGGTTTAAATCCTGAAACACACAAAAGAAAGTGCTAAAATTCTTTGGGGAGATAAAATGGAAAAAAAAAGTTTCCAATTTTAATACTTTCAGAGAGATCATAAAATTGAGAGGGAGTTTAAACAAACATTTCCTTTTGGAATTAAAATTTATTTTTTAACATACTGTAAATCACTTTTTATTTGCGAGAACTTTATTTTCGCGTAATTACGCGAGACGTTATGCTCGCGAAAATTTCATTCTCGCGTATAATAAAATTCCTTAAGATTATACAGAGCAATGACCCCAATTCGTGGAAATTTTGTCTCGCTTATAAAGAGTCAATGAGTATCTCGCGAAAATAAGGTGTCACGAAAATTAAGTGATCTACAGTATTCAAGACAACTGCTTAAATTGACACAAATATGTAGGTTATAAACTTGAAATGGACTTGAATTGTTAGTTGTGCATCATTCTTGTTAAATTGACAGGAACCTAGTAAATGCTTCCAGTGATTTGCATACCTGTAGGGCAGTGTACACATTATGTGTAGAGGTCAGGGCCAAAAACAAGGAATTGAAATGTTCTAGATCCTGAACTGATGTGTTGACCTTGAGGATTTCTATGTAATGCATGATGTTACTGCTCATACTGCACAATTCATCCAGAAACCAGTCTCCATCCCGAGAAGTCAGGTCCATCAAACGATCACCTGCACCTGTAATTCAAAGTTAAATATTTAAAAGTACTTATCAATGCTTTGTCTATGGTACCTTTTTTTTGTTGAAAATCATGATGTATATTTTGGCATTGTACTTAAGCAATTGTGTAATTTGTGATAATCTTTTAAGTTTTCAAGTGACCTGGACTCAAAGTTGTATTATATTTTCAGAAACTGAAAAATTTCTCAACCATGAACATTTGAGTATTGACCATAAAATATATGATAAATTCAGGGATGCTGATCAAGAACTATATTGCTATGATACCTGCAGCAGCGCCCTCCATCTGATTGTAACGCTTGTTGAGTGCACAAAGGGCAGATATCACCCACGCCATTAAACTTGACACTCCACTTAATCCATTTTCTAAACAAAACAAATGAAGAAATGTACTCAACGAATCTTTTATGTAACCAATGAAGAAAAATAAAATTGATGTTCCTTATAACTGATTGATTGTGAAGTAGACACTGACCCCGGACAAATGTCTGCACAGACTTGTTCTGTTCTACGATCTGATGTTCTAAATACTCTGTCTCAGCATTCTCCTGACGTCTC